TATTTCTCTATTGCTTGGTATCTCAGTAGACCCCACAGAGCCTTCATCTGCATTCTTTTCAAATCTGGCTGCTTCCCCTTCCGCCTCACGAGACACCTTCTCATTTGGCATACCACCAAATCCAGAGTCCTTCTCCAGTCTCTTTTTCTTCTGCTTCTTCAATGAACCCCTCAAGAACAACACAATCTCACCTTTTTGCAAAGACCCTTTATTGAATTCAGTAAGGGCAATGTAGACAAATAAGAAAAACACAGCAAATCCGACGGTAATACCAAAATTTCTCCACTTGTGTGCATTGTAGTATTCATAAGCCAAATCAACATAATCAGTACCATTTACAACATCAGAGCCAGGTTTTGATCCTACTGCTGAACATATCCTATTAACCTGTGCAATGTTTTGATAATTAGGACCCGATGGAACAAATTGTTCACATGCAAAGTCACGATTGTGGAATTCATTAACCATCAACGATTCAAACACGTATCCAACAGGGTTGATGTAATTGATCCACCTCGACCATCCTAACATATCTGGCGTGGGGATAACAAAACCAGTAAAGATAATCATTGCAAGCAAAATAACGGTTGCTGGGGTTAAAGCTTCGGCAATCGAATTGGACACTGCACCGATAGATCTAAACATATGTGACATAACTAAGGTACACCAACAACACATTAACCAGTAGAAGAAAAACCTTCCTGGATTTCTTCTAAAATTAACCATAAAGTAGAAGACAAAATTAAACGACATGGACATCAATAGTTTTGTAGGTAACTCGGTTATGATACTGGCTAAAGCATCCGCAGATGGTCGATAAAGCGCATACTTTTTGTGTTTCTCAACGATTGGTCTCGCATCGAAAAGTGCCAAAATCTCCAAAAGCGATGAAAATGCATTGAACAACACTGCCAAGAACAAACCTGCCCCTCTGAAGTAAAATGAACCCGTATTTGGCTGCAAATTGTAAAAAATCGATGATAAAATAAGTCCCATAACCAATTGTCCAAAGATCGAAAACAACGTGATGGACGGATCACCTTTGGTTCTTAGCCAGTTTCTGTACATCAAATTCTTCACCTGCATTCCAAATGACACAGTATATGGAGATGCTGGACGAATGTGGTCTGATTGTCTTGCTACGTGTGATTCATGATATAATTGCTTGGTATTTTTGTTTTCACATTCAGCAAAGTGCTCATCAATCTCCTTGGTTAAAGCAGCATACTCAGGCGAGCTCTTCCATCTTGATTCAAACTCCTCTGCAGTGCGTGGCACTTTATCTTCAAATCCTGGGCGTGGCTTCCTTTCGGCTGGGTTGGATAACGATGTTAAGAAATCAGCAGTGGTTTGTCTTTGTGGGCAATCCCACCCCATGTTGACGAAAAATTCTTTTGCTTTATCGGCGCGACCAAAAAAGATTTGGTATCCCTCGTACAACACAACAACCTTGTCGAATAAGTCGTATGCATCTTGCGAGCACTGGTAGATGGCAATCAAAGGGGTGGTATCCAAGATTGCAGCTGATGTCTTCAATGCTCTGATGAACTCCAATGCTGTGGCTGAGTCCAACCCTCTGGTGGCATTGTCCCAACATTGGATATTAGCTCCGTTCAAGGACGCCTCGGCGATAGAAACTCTCTTTCTTTCTCCACCCGATACACCTCGAACAAAGTCGTTACCAACATTGGTGTTCTTGGTATGTAACAACCCGTAAGTGGCCATGTACACATCGGCCATGTGCTCTGCATACTTTTCCCTGTCCACGTTTTCACCTCTATTCTGCGGCGTTCTCATTCTGGCTGCAAATTGCAAAGTATCCCCTACCGACAAATGTGGGAAATGGACATCTGTTTCAGCTGAGTAGATCACATCGCCTCGGTAGTGTTTGGTAATCTCCTTCTGCGTTAATCCATCGTAAGTTATCTTTGACTCCTTGCCGAGATGGAAACCGTATGTGTTGACAGCGATGGTCTTTAGCAATGTAGAACACCCAGCACCTGGTCTTCCCAAAACAACTGTAAGCTCTCCCGGTCTCATTATAGCGTCCATATGTTTCAAAATGTCAAACATTTTCGACTCGTCTTCTTTTTTCAAGTGGGATAAAGCCTCCGTGGTGAATTTCCAAAGAGCGTTTGTCACTGTTGGTTGGTAATCTGTATCATTTGCTGTACCATAAGCTCTCAAGTCTCGATAAGCGACACCCAATTTCGAAGGTTTGTAATAGTCNTCTCTGTCCACGTTTTCACCTCTATTCTGCGGTGTTCTCATTCTGGCTGCAAATTGCAAAGTGTCTCCCACCGACAAATGTGGAAAGTGGACATCTGTTTCAGCTGAGTAAATGACATCTCCTCGGTAGTGCTTTGCTATATCCTTTTGCGTTAATCCATCATAATTTATTGTGGTTTCCTTTCCGATGTGGAAGCCATACGTGTTGACAGCAATTGTTTTCAACAACGTAGAGCACCCAGCACCTGGTCTTCCCAAAACAACTGTAAGCTCACCTGGTTTGATAATCGCATCCATGCTCTTGAGAATGTTGAATTGGTTACGCTCGTCATTGTTTCTTAAAAAGCCTATAATCTCGGTGGTAAATTTCCACACGGCATTGGCAACTGTCGGCTGATAGTCTGTATCATTTGCAACCCCGTGTGCTCTTAAATTCCTATACGCAACACCTAAGCGTGAAGGCTTGTAGTAATCCCTCTCTGTTTCAAACAACTTCCTTTGATTCTTTACCCAAAATTTAGCATCAAAATTATTTGAATTAGGGTCAAGTCTCTCATCCATTTCTAAGAGGGGATTCACCCCAGGGACTTGAGACATGTGAGTTAAGTACCTCGTCAACCCTTGTGCAGAATCGTTATATGCACTTGCCAAGTATTGTACTTCTTGTTCATCGAATCCTTCATATGCCCCCATTGCCAGGGATGACAAGCTATCGAGCTTGTTGAGCGAGTCGTCTTTCTGGTCCGAATTTGAGTCAGGCATTGCTTGTTTTTCAAAGAACATCAAATTTTGACTCCATCTTTGATTGATTTTATATAGTCTGTGACTAAATGCACCTTTTTTAGTGAAGAAGAAAATTCGGAAGTTGACTAAACTCCGATAAATACAGTTAAAAGGGCTATGTCTACGGGAAACGGAAATTGGCTAGCTTACGAGGCCGTGGACTCTACTCTGGTCCTCTATGGTACCACTGGTACGACAGAGTGTCTTGTTGGTTTTTCCCGCTGTGCGGTAATTGCGTTTTTCGGAAACAATTGCACGGCTGGGTGAGATTTGTAGAGTAACCACAAATGGATATGGGTGTGTAACGAGTAAGGAGTCAGGTATATCCACTCTTCTTCAAGGATAGTCCCCTTTAGCTCAGCCTCGGGTGGTCACAACCTGTGAAATTAAACATTTCGGAACTTAGTTCTCTCCCGTGTTTCCGCACACGCCGATCTGCGGAGAATAAGCTTTGGCTGTGTTTTAGATTGGCTAAAAAGAGCTTAGAGGCTACACTGAAAGTCTAAATTTTGCTTCTATTGATCCAAACTACTCATCAAAAATGTTGAAAGGTGTTTTGTTGAATCTCTTTGTACCCTCCTTTCCTTCCAACTCGTTCAATGCTTCAAAGTCCTCCTTTGGTAAAGTAAATGTCTCAAAGTTTGAAAGAATTCTCTTTTCATTGACCGACTTGGGAATCACGATTGTGCCTCTCTGCACTGCCCAGGAGACAAGAAGCTGGCCAGGATCAACACCATTCTTTTGAGCAAGCTCTTTAACCACCTTGTTCTCCAAAACTGGAGCCTTGTCAGAACCAAATGGCGAGTAAGCAGTCAAGCAAATGTTTTTGCTCTTTAAATAGTCAATCAACTTCTCATGGTTGAGCAATGGGTGAGTCTCCACTTGATTGATTGCTGGTACAACATCAACTCCGTCAGCATTCAACAACTTTTCCAACTTGTTGATTGTGAAGTTGGCAACTCCAATAGCTTTAACCTTTTCACCCTCCTTGTAAATCTTTTGCAACAGCTTCCATGTTTCAACATAGTCTTCATATTTCGATGGATCATCAACTTTTGAGTCGGTATTTTGCGGCCAGTGGATCAAATACAAATCAACATAGTCAAGGCCTAAGCGTTTCAAAGATGCATCTAAAGCCCCCTCAACGTCCTTATGGTCGGTGTTCCACAATTTTGTAGTGACAAACAATTCGCTTCTTGGGATTCCTGAATTTCTAATAGCTTTTCCGACTTGGTCTTCGTTCTCATAGAGCTTGGCATCGTCAATGTGCCTGTAGCCATTCTTTAAAGCAAATTCGACAGCTTTGTAACCTTCGTTGTTGTCGACGGATCTCCATGTGCCCAACCCGACAGCTGGAATTTTGGCTCCGGTGTTTAAAGTGTATTCTTTCGTGCTTGGTTTCAATGTTGCTGGCATGATGGTTGTTGAAGTAGAGTAGTATAGCTTGTTTGAAGTGCGAATGAACCCTCCTTTATATTTTAAAATTGTGGCGCATTAAACAGCAAGCTACTTTTGATTGCTTTGCCACAGAAATATATGTAGAGCTTTTGCAACTTCATCGGCAAGGATCAAACTTTGTGCAAGTGTTATTGTCTCAGATTATAATTGCTCTGTAAAGAAAAAGAATTTGATTGTTCTTACACAAAAGCTTTGCACTAACCCGGAGTTCCAATATGGGTCTACTACTTCAAGGCATGCTTCGACTTGTGTCTAATGTAGGCGCCATACTTACTGAAGAAGAATGGCACTGGGATCATCAATGCACCCAAACACCCCAACAAGGTTGCTGCCCACTTTATGGTTAAGTTGTCAAACATTTGTTGTGTGAAAAGTGGAAATGCAGCACCAAATCCTGATCTGATAAATGTCAACCCCGCCAACGCAGTGGCTGCTACGTATAGATAGCAATCAATTAGATAGGTCATTGTTGGCAAAAAAATCAACATTAATCCGTTGCCAATGAAAAATGCTCCAATGACTGGAACAATCCAATGGATATGCTGAGGGTAATCACCAGTCCAACCGAGCCAGAAGAGGCCAATGACAAAGGTGACTGCGCCAATCATCACCGGTGGCAACCGCATTTCTGGAACCGACATTGTGTTTGTTCGTTCAAACATTCGATTATTCTGGATTTCAAAAATAACATTGATTAAGGTACCTGAAAGCACTCCGAGCAACATTGACAAATAGGGCAACTCGGCCACTCCTCGCGACCAGCCGTATCTCCCTTCAAATATCAATGGGATGACACTTAAAAAGCTGTAAAGGATTCCGTAAATGAATGAGTTGTAAAGGCTGATTAGGAAAACAATTGGCTCGGTGAATAATAGCTTCAACGGTTTGAGGATGCGATCAACGGCTATATCTCTCAAATTTAATGACACCTCCTCATGTGGTGCGTAGATGCCCCAATTCCCCGTCTTTCTTCGTAGCAACTCGGCTTTTCTCGCCAATAAAACGGGGTGGTATGTTTCTTCAAGCACGAAGACGTTACATGCCAACGCCAAGCAGCCTATGATCCCAGACACGTATGAAACCCACCGCCAACCCAATTTCTGATTCTTGATTATAAACCCTCCTATTATAGGCGCCACCATGACGCCACCAAATAAGATGCTTCCGAAACACGCCATTCCAATACCTCTTGATTTAGCCCTGGTAATATCAACCATTATTGCCGCCAGAACAACAACCGGTGCACTTCCCAAAAAGCCAGCAAAGAATCGGCATAGCATGATTGTTTGCAAATCTTTGGCCGTAGCCGTTCCAAACTCAAAGCAGACATATCCAAAGGATGAAAGAACCATTACCGGTTTCCTTCCAAAGACCTCAGAAGAGGGGCCGTAAATGACCGGCCCAGCGGCAAACCCAATGATAAACAAGGCAGTCCCCAATTCAGCAACGGCTGTGCCAATGTGAAATATTTCCTTCAAATCCTCGTTTGTAGAAGCAAACATTGCAGAACCCATTGATAGAGAAAACGTAGAAAGGCCAACTGCAAATGTGTACAAGGCTTTTTTGATAATGGAATAGTTGTGGGGATGATATGGGTCATTCTCTCCATTGAAAGCGACACAGTACGGCGACCTATCTGGTAATTGTGGTGGTAGTAGTCTTCCTCCTCCTAGGGATGGCTCTTGAGTGGTTTCACGATTTATCTTGTAGGATAGTTTTTGGTCGATAAGCGGCGCTATATCATGGCTCCCTGGTTGAAGCATTCGGGTACCATCGAGTGTGAACCACTCTTGGTTTTGTTTTTTTCTTGCACGTTGTGTCAAATTAATATTTCCGATGGCCTGCGGAGGGTAAGTGCGCGATCCGGAAAAAGATAAAAGCGGGTCGCTTATGAGTTTTCCCATCTATCGGAATTGTAACGTCTCAATGCATTGTCTTCGGAATCCGTTGGGAAAGACTGTTGAAATCTCTGGTGTTGAAAATACTTCATTGGAACGAATTCTACTTAGTATCTACATAGCTCTCTTATAACCTCCAGTTCTTTGGTTTCTTATCACTGAATGCCAATAGCCAAAGATATCCTAGACATATGGCAGATGCACTGAGCAAAACACCATCATATATGGCGGCATTCGCGTAGTCTTCCGGTTTTAATCCAGTGCCGCTAATCAATACAGCTCCAATGGGCGATCCAATCATCACCCCAATGCCTCTAGCACAATACATCATGCCACTTAACTGACTATACGAACTTATACCAAAAAGTTCAATCAAGCAAGGCGGTAACAAAGAAATTATCGCTCCTGAAAACACACCGTACAACACAATCAAGCTTATAAATGTGTCCTTTACTGCTGGTAGCCAGAGTCCAAATATGACAGCTGCTGATAAAATACTGCATATCATCAAAGTGTTCATCCTCCCAATAACATCAGCAATCATACCGGTAAACACCTTTGAAGCGGCATTGATTAAGTTGCTTATTCCAATAAACAAGGCTCCTTGTGAACTTGAATATCCCAAGGAGACAGCATACTTTGACATGAATATCAAAGGCATCAAATATCCAGCAGACTGTAGAAGCGATCCCATCAATTGTAAAACTACTTTGAGTGATTTCAATTGACTAAAGTTCAAAATAGCATTTCCGCTTCTGAAATTAGGCAATTTTGGCTCAACCACCATAAAACTAGCCGCGCCTGTGACACCAAGGTTCATAAACCCCAAAATTCTAAGCCCCCAACGCCATCCAACTTGCTTGATCAAATACTTGGTTAAATTAGCCATTGCAAATGCCCCAACCCCAGTCCCCGAGAATAACACACCACTAGCAAGACTTCTGTGTCTATCGAAATACACGGGCCCACATACAACCGGAGGCAAATAAACTATCCCACCACCAATACCTTGAACAATCGAGCACAAAATAAATTGATAATAGCTCGAGCAAAATCCAGTGACAATTATCCCAATGCTCATCAAAACGCATCCAATCAACATGACGTTCCGTGGGCTTAGGTGTAGCATAAGCGCTTTATTGAAAATGCCGCAGATGTAAGTTAAGGCCGTACTCACTGTACCAATTATGGATATCTTTGCATCCGAGTACTCGGCAAGTGGTCCTGTAGGGGTGCCGTAGAATTCCTGCAACACCCCATAAGAGAAACCAATTCCAAACACCATAAAATTACAAAGAAATCCAGCGACAACAGCAGAGATGCCAAACTTATTAGCTGAAACAGCATGGAATAATCTTGTTGGTGGATGCTCAGGTGGCAGGACTATAGACATTTCCTCAAAAGGGTTACTAGCCCTTTGTTCGTTAGTATTTGGCCTTGAAGTTGTATACATACTTAGTTCCAACAGTAGTCAAGTCTTTGCCAGTTGAAAGAAAAACGAAAGAAACGAGGATGTGTTTTGGCTAAACCAGCCATAAGCTTTATGTCTTCGATTTTGTGTCGTTGAGTCATCTAGAAATTTTTTTAATGAATCGTTGTAGAATCTTTTTGTGTGGTTAGGACAATTTGCAATCCACATTCTGAGAGCACCACTAATAGAAACCCTGACTAGTTTTTTACTCGCTGTTATTCGATTAAGTTGTGAATGTCACAATACGTTATCTACTTGTTTATCTCTTTTTCATTATCTTAAACCGTCTACTCAAAATAGACAATATCTTGACTGTATTCTGTTGCAAAATTTTATAAAAACAAACCTTGAAATAATTGATAGCACTAACACTATAGTCTAAAGCTTTACCAAGATCGCAAATATATGGAGCTATCCATATATTTCTAAGAATTATGCTGTATTAGCTTTATAATTTGCTTGATGTTGTATGTGTCGCGACATCCAATGCGACTTGTATATAAACGTTTGTAGAATTTGGGCACGCGCCATAGTTAAGTGCTAACAAAAAAAAAAGTTAGGGCAGCGACTACACAAGTCCACCAGTTCTGGTCTTTGGGCCTTTTGATGGTCTCTATGTGTAACTACGAATATATAGACAACGATAAGCCAATAAACTGATGTCTTTTCTAATAAAGATGTTCAGTTGTGGTGACTGTCGTTTTCAAATTTTTATAATGCAAATTGAGAATCTTTTTTCTCTACATAGTTAAGAAACTTATATACACTTTGGCTAAAAGTTTGGGCAAATCTACTGTTGAGACATACAGTCTTTTTATTTTTATTTCATACGAGTGCGACATACATAATTATTCATACCAATGCGATATTTATTATTCAATCTAAAACGACATAACTTTTCATACTATGACTTTTTTATTTTTGTTCCTATGTGATTTTGTTTTCTATTAGATCAAAATAAATTCGAACAAGACATGAACTTTAAGCTGACATTACACACTGATAGATACGTAGATGGATTTGGTAATTGCTTTACTTTGGAGCCAGACCGGATGAATTTGGAAAGTGAGATAGCTCCATTGGGGGCGTGCTTTAGTTATAGTGACTACAATGAAGCGTTCCATCCAAACGAGAGTGAAGTTATTAACCTGCAATCTGAAATGGAATGTGATGACGTAGATGTGGATTTAGAGGTTATCTCTGAACAAGAGGAAACTTGTAAATGTAAAAGGGGTCCATACAGATACTACTCTGAAGCACATAAGCAAAGATTCTGGCAATTGGTTATCAGTATTATACGGAAATATGGATGGTCGAAAGTAGGTGAAAAATCTGTGCTTAAAGTTCCTATAACCAGAGATCTCAATGTATCATTTTTAGGTGCCATCTCTTCCAAAGGAAGCGTTGATTTGAAGGTAAGAGTTCCAGCACAAGTTGCCCCTAACAAGAAGAGAAAACTCGGTTCCAACACTACAATTTCGGAAGAGAAGACAAGAGTTGGTACCACCTCCAAGCATTTCTATGCATTTGTAAAGTCCGTGCTTTGAGAAATCGGAGCAAAAAGGGCACTTAAAGAGATCAAGTACTTGATACTTGACAACGCAGCCATCCACAAGCGTCGGGATCTTGAGCTATTAGTAGCACTGAGTGGAATGGAGCCAGTGTTTTTGCCTCCTTATTCACCAGAACTAAATGCCATTGAAGAGTTCTGGTCCGTGTGTAAGCCAAAGGTTAAGCGGTCAAATTTAACTAGAAAAGAACAGTTGACACCAAGGGTAAGACAAGCGACAGCACAGAGATCTTTCTAGAGTACAAGTTCCCAAATTAATGAATAGGAGGGTGACTATATTTAAGTGGAGAAAATAACTGCAAATCCTTTGAGAAATGAAAGAAAAAAAGACGAAAATCAAAAAACTTACAAGTAAAGTCATGTCTTGTTGTTATACAACGTTCACATTCCTATTCCTTAGTTTAACATCATCGGGCTCATAAGTCAGGACAGATATGCTTTTATTGTTCTGGGTAGCTATGTGGTATGAACTAATATGTCGCGTCGGCATGAAAAATTATGTTGCATTGGTATGAAAAATCTGATTCGATCGTGATGATTTTATACATAAAAGTCGTGTATTAATGCCTGCCTCATTCACCCTCTATACTGTTATACAATGTATGGACCTATACTTATACACAAATATCATTTTGTAGACTCCACTTTAACCCCACAAATACTCCTCTATTACTTCTCTTTTGTAGGGTGTGTGTGAAAATTTAGACCTTGCTTATCCTTATTCAAATATCTCTTTTCCTTAATATGTAGTGTGTGAACAAAATCATGTCGTGTTGGTATGAATTATTATGTCGCGGTAGTATGAATAAAAATTAAAAAGGCTGTACATGAATTAGTTTGATTGATAACTTGGGGTTTTCTAGGTTTTCGGTGCCGTATGAGTACGACAATCACAGGAGTAATGCAAATATCACGCCATTAATCACATTGGCTAATTTTTTGAGTAAACCTTAATAACTGTTGCAAAATGGAAACTTAGATTCACATGATTTGAGGATACAACACAGAATAATATATAAGGAGAAGGATTCCCTCCTGAAATTGTATAATAAATTTTGTATATTTCTCTTGCAATATTAACTAATCGTTGTATCATATTAAAAACCAACTGCCAACTTAACTCAAAAAATAAAATACAACGACTAAGCAGAGAGTATGGTGGACGGAAAATACATAATCAATATAATACCAAATGGACAAAAAGAAAGATGATTTAAATGAACAAGAATTGTGGAAATTCAATAGAATATTGCTTACGATAACAATACTAGTGTTGCTGTTTATCGGTATAAAACAAGCGTTGTATATTGCTAGAAATGACAATACGACATGTTTACAAGACGTTCAGCATGGTGGTCAAATACTGACTGTAAGCCTGGTATCACTTGATAAACGTAAATTAGCTGAAGTGAATCATATGACATCAGAAGTTAATAAGACCTGAATGGTTTGGATGACGGCAACGATTTGATTGAGTATTTGAATGTTGAACTAAGGAATAAGTGGATGTGGACATCTTTAGTAGTTGGTGGGATAATATTGGCAGCAGCAGTGTCTCTTGCAACAGTCTGGGCTCTTGCCTTGGTAGCTGGGGGTTTAGGTAGAATAATATATTCGATTGTGGTTGGAGTGAGTGCTGTATTGGGTGCAGTAGGCACGGTGGGTTCTACTGTTACTAGTGGAAAGAGAGACATCTACAACAACGATTGGCAACATGAACAATTTATGGTGGTTGACGCAATGAATACGACATATTACTTCTATGATGTATTACAGATTCATGGTAATAGTGTTCATGAATTATTAACTAAGTCAATTATTAACCAATATATGGCTTTTACAACTAACGGGACAGGTAGCGATAATGCAGGAAGGTTATTAGGCTATAGGGATAATGGAACACATTTCATACTAACAGAACAACACTATTCTATAACAGAATTAATAGATGACATAGTGGATCAGATCAACACAATGCTGTCTGTATAGGAGATTGCTATGTCAATAATTTGAATAACATGCATTTAATGAAAAGAACAAATTATTTTCAGGTAAATTGGGCAAGCTATAATTATGATATATTGTCAGAGGAATATCAATCGGAAACAAGGTATTCAGGTTTGAATGGGCAACAAGTAATAGACGGAATAAATCAAGGATACCTGAGAAATGGAAATCCCGACACATGGAAGTACTGCATATGCATAGATGGTGACACTAGCGGGCAATACAATGACATACCAAATAGAATGGGTATGACGGGAGAGCTATATTTTAATACATATGGTGGAATAGATGGTTATTGTAATAACGTGCATTGTGGTGCACAATGTAAAAGCGATGGCTGTACATGAGTTTGTGCAATCATTGTACACCCAACAAGGTGTAGTGCTACAATAATAATAATCTAAAATAATAAATTTAAATAAAACAACATAAAATAGGTACATGGACTTTTAAGGTGGTGATAACAGTTATAAGGGCTCTATATTGCAGCGGTAGTACTGTCTAATGCTCTTTGTTAATCTATATCAATTACTTTCTATATCGGACTAGTTCAATTAAGATTTGTGAAAATATTTAGATAAACTATGGAAGAACATTCAAAATGGGAAACTAAATGACACACAAATTATACTACTGAGATCATTTAATGCATATCATATTAATAGAAAGTGTAATGGAGCTAATGAATTTGTTGGATTGATCTAATCACTGAATTCAAGTGTTTATTGATGGGGGTAATTCGACTGATGTAAGTGACCTGCATATATGACACTCACACTTCGGAGGCGAATGATTTCAATGCCATTTATGAAACTGTAAAACTCGAAAAATAGAGAAATTAAAAACGACACAAGAGAAAGTAAGCCGGTGTACTGTTTTAAGGTCAGTGATGCCTTCTCTAAATATTCCTTAGCCCAGAATTCAGTCTGATTATTTTGATTATTATCAGCGTTAATACTTAACTAAAACTTTAAAATTATATTCCTGTAAACTTATATCTCTATATTGCGAATGCAAATTACTTATTTATTTATTAATTGTGCTTTCGCATATGTTCCCTTTCGCTCAAATGTTGTGTGCGGGAAAGTGTAACCTACCCCTTTTTTTTACATGCTAAATAAGGGTCCTTTTTCTGGGTTTTTGTCCCCAGAAGAAAGCTCGCATTTTTTAAAAAGTGAATAAAGTTGCGAAAATGGTCAAAAATTGCAAAAAAATGGCCAAATCCTTGGTAGCGCAAAATTTTATTCTTTCTGATGCGAACTACTCTGTCTAGAGCTCACCCCATTTCCGTACAGCATTTAAGTTGAAATTAACATAATAATTAGGTCTAGTCTAAACCAACTATAGGTCGATACCAACAAATCAAAAACAAAAACAAAAACAAAAACAAAAACAAAAACAAAAACAAAAACAAAAACAAAAACAAAACAAAAACAAAATATAAAAATATTCAGCGCGAACATATGAAATTGTTGCACTATCTGTCGACCTAGCTACAAGACACTCTACTCCGTCTTTGCCATAGAGTCAACCTAAAGTACGATGCAAAAATAATATTTAAATAAAAATTGTGGTGCCCACTAAATAATTTTGCTGCAACGAATGTCGACTTAACCTCATCATATCATCGTATTAGATTAGTACGATTTCGTTCTAGTGTCGACGTAAAAACAAAATTGTGTAAATACTTTAGTTCGTATTTACACCATTATTTACCAACCTTACTTTAATTTTTTTTTTACCTCAATTTAAAAGAATTATTATTTTAGGATCGCGGGTGGGACAGAAGTGAGGTGGAGAAATCAATGGTCTCTGATCATAATTACTCATAACAAAGAAAAATGCCTAAAATTCTAAGCATTCAGATTTCCATTTCTGTAAGTGGCATCCTGATATCTTTCATTTAAAACACAATCAACCTAGATCGACATAATTCTCTGAGCATGTTCAACGTTTTCTAAGCAGAGATAACGTTGTTTTGTCGTTTAATTTGATTTATTAGAGGTGACCCAAAAAGGAAAAGGTCTATACTATTTCTAATTCTACCAAATTTAAGAGTTTTGGTCTCTCACCAATTTCAATTCTAGTAAGTGCAAGCGAACAAAACGTATATATATATATATATACATGTGTGAAACCCGATTTCTAGCTTCCCCGCTGCAACATCAATCTAATAATATATTAGATAGAAAAAAAAGATTTGTTTTTTTCCAGTGCGTAAACCAATGTTCTTACGAAGGAAACATTGGGGAAAGTAACTAAATAGTTTCTTTTCTTCATGGAGGAGGGGTGGACTTTTTGTGGAGGTTTGAAATTTCTTTCTTTTTTTGTTGTTGATTGATCTTTAATGTGGATAAAAGTTGTCTCTGTGTAAGAATATAAAAGTCGGCTCAAATTCCGAAAAAATGACCGGGCTGACTGACAGAGAAAAGGAGCGGCAAGTTATCAGAAAATCAAACACTGGCAGTCGAAACAACTAATGACTGATAAAAACAAAATTGATAAAGACGCCAGGACTAACAAACGACCAAGAGTGATATTGGCATGTAACAGATGTCGTCAAAGAAAAACCAAATGTGATGGTGGACAACCTACTTGTGGTACTTGTGCCAAACGTAATGCCGAATGTGTTTATGTTACTAAGTATGCTCGAGCACATGTGACTGTAGAGTATGTGAGACAATTGGAAGAAAGCTTAGGTATAGCTTCCAAAACTAACCATGAGATGTTGTCTCCCAGTATCAGCAACATGATTTCATCCTATGATAGATATTCAACGCAACGCACTCCCAGTGCACACTTATCGCCCCCACCACAAGAGTTACCCCCAAATCAATATCAACATCGTCATCGAGGCTCGATTGAAAGTAATGTAAGTAATGGTCACATCAAATGCGAGTATACAGCTACTTCTGTAACTCCTTCAAGTTCAATTATGACAAACAATTCAACCTCCAGTGCTTTCAGAAGTTGCAAAGATTCTACTAGTGCAATGGGTGCAGGGGAAATGATCAAACAGAAACGTGGCAAAGATAGAGATTATTATGGTTCTTCAGCAGCAATATCATTCATGAAGGATTTATCTAATATTATCGACGGTCTCTCTAGATCAGATGGTTTAGCCACGGATGATGATGAGACAGATAGATTTAGACAATACAAGATGTCTCGATCAGATCCAATGTCATCAATACCTATCTCCGAATTAGAACTTCCACCTAGGACTCTTGCTGACCTTTATATCAAAAATTACTTTGAATTTGCCTATAGTTTGTACCCATTTGTTCACAAACCAACCTTTATGGCTACCTATAAAACTTTGTGGAGTACCAAAACTGGGGAAGATCAGGATATTGATGAATTATTCTATTCAATTGTCAACATCGTTTTTGCATTTGGCTGCCAATTAGCACCAGCTTCTCAAAAATTAGAAGATAATTCTGAGCTTTATTTTGAAAAATCCCAGAAGTGTCTTCGATTTCACTTAATGAACAGCGGTTCAGTCTTGTTGGTTCAAGCATTATTGTTAACGGGTCAGTTTTTGCAAGCTAGCTCTGGTCTGGCTGGTTGTTGGAATATCGTGGGTTTGGCAATTAGAATTGCTCAAGGATTGGGATTACATCTGGACCAGAATTATGCTTCGACAAAGAGTCTAATTGATAGGGAAATTAGAAAAAGACTATGGCAAGGTTGTTTGTTAATGGATAGGATAGTTTCGATGACAATGGGGAGACCAATGATGGTAACATACGAATTTGAACAAGGAGAAGTTCCCTTATGTGTGGATGATGAATATATTAAAGATGATAAAATTTTGCCGACGAATAAACCTTCTGAATTGGGATTTTTCACTCAAACGATTAAATTATATAACATTCTTGCTGATATTTTGAAATCTGTTTATTCTAATGATCAACTTGATGAAAACCCACAATTATTACTGAATATTTTCAAGTTTGAAGATGGACTAAATGAATTTACAGCGAATCTACCTAGTCACTTACAATTTAGTTCTGATTTACAAAAAATGATGCCATTCGAACGACAAAGCATTGTGCTACATATCAGAGTTCTCCATCTCAAAATACTGCTTTATCGTCCCGTATTATTTTCAAAGTCATCTAATCATAAGAAATTTGACTCCAAAGGTTCTGAGTTATACACTTCAACGCAAAGGTCAGTTGCTTTACTTTGTGTTAATTCAGCGATGGAGCTCATCAATATAATTTCCAAATATCGTGCTGGTGATATTGTTTACTTGCCAGCACACTGGTATAATGTGTTCTATATATATACAGCCGGTACAATTCTTCTTGCAGCGAAGCTACAGGTCACTTTACATAAAGATATCGATATGATTGTATTTGAAAGAGCATGGAACTTAAGTTTAGAAATCCTCCGTTCATACACTCAACAGTCTGAATCAGCAAGTCGTTGTTTGAAGGTTTTGGAAATGATGGGGAACAAGGTTCATATATCATCACAAAGATTGGCCACACAAGCTAATACTCCAGATTCAATGAATAATGACCGAATTGATCATGGAAGATTACATAAAAATTCTATATATCCCTTGCACGATTACAGTCCAAGTTCTACTTCATCAGAGGTTCCTACAGATGTGCTATATTCTTTGCTTTACGATACTGCTGGTCCGTTTGGTGGTCCATTCCACTATACAGATGATATGAACGCCTTTTACTTACGATAACTAGATCTTTGATCGTATAACGAATATATATATTTCAGCCAATAATAATGCTCGTAGGCAACAGTTCTTTCTTTTAATAGACCTTGGCAAAAAATCTGCCCCACTTTTCCCCCTTTTTTCATTTTTGTTTCCATCATGTTGCACAATAGTGTTTATAAATCTCGTGCAAAATCAGTGTTATTGTGGTGTTGAATAGACTTGTATCATTATTTTGTAGATTCATCCGAAAAAATAATTAATAAATCTTACATAAAAAATATTCAGCTGCAGCCGGAACTTCATTCCGCCGAAGCCCCCTCACTTAAAACCATTGTCTCATCAGCGGAAGCTACATCCGTTATATTTACTTAGATTCAAATGAATTTCTGGGGAAATTATTCTTGAATTACTGGGGTATAGCTTTTATAATTTGATCTCAAAATATATTCTCTTCTTTACATCTCCATTTCTTTGCTAACTCAATAGAATAAAATATGTCATATGCTGGTTCTTGTCTCTGTGGTGAAGTTTCATTTAAACTTATTGGCGAGCCATCTCGTTCCTTTGTTTGCTATTGTGTTGATTGTCGTAAAGGTTCTGGTCACTTAGGTCAATTCATAAGTCAATATGCCACTGATAAGGTAGAGATTGATGATAAAAACGGTAAGATTGCTGAATATGTTGTTCAAAAAACCAAGAGTGGTCATCCAAAGAGAAAACAATTCTGTAAAGGTTGTGGCTGTACTATTCGTACTTTACCAATGAAGTTTAATGGTGAAGTCAGTATGATTAGACAATCTTTAGTAGATGATAACTTTGCAAAGTTAACTCCCCAATTGGCCATGTTTGGAGACGAGAAGAATAGTTTTACTGAAGATGTTAAATCTGAATTTTATTAGAGTAACTGTGTATGTATTTAGTCGATTAATTAACGTCACATCACCTTGAATCTTGTTTATCTAACATTAGGAAATAACGAGGGCTATTTTAAAGATACTGGTAACTAAATAAACTACAATAGGGAACTGAACAAAGTACAGATCAGTATCTAAGAACAAATCTGAATTATATTTTTGGTCCATATTGATACTAACTGTTTTACAGAGCTTTTGAAGCAATCCCGAATAATTTTATATCCATTATATACCTGTAAATTAAAACTTATATAAACATCCGTTTTCTTAAACAAAGTCCATCTTGTTAGAAAGAGTACCAATCTGAGAAATCTCCACTTCAACCTGATCATCGTGTTTTAAGTACTTTGGAACCTTCATACCCATAGCAACACCACTTGGAGTACCAGTCATGATAACAGTACCTTGTTCTAAAGTAGTAGATTGAGAGATGAAAGCAATGATCTTTGGAACGTTAAATAATAAATCATCAGTACCAGTGTCTTGACGAACTTCACCGTTAACTCTGGTGGTTAATTGTAAAGTAGCTGGGTTGGAAATCACTTGAGAAGAAACTAATTGAGGACCTAATGGAGCGTATTTGTCGAAAGACTTGGAGAAACACCATTGAGGAACACCACCAGCGTGTTTTGGATCTCTTTGCCAAGTTCTAGCGGAAACATCATTACCAGAGACGTAACCAGCTACATAACTTAAAGCATCTTCTTCCTTGATATCCTTACCAGTCTTGCCAATAACAACACATAATTCACCTTCGTAATCACATTGGTTTTCTTGAGCAATCTTTGGGATTGGAATTGGTTCACCGAAATCAGCAACGGTAAATCTTGGTTTATAGAAAATAGATGGGAATGGTGGAGGGGTTCTCCCACCTTCTTGGATGTGCTTCATGTAGTTTAAACCGACACATTTGATAATTGGAACTTCATCTTGGGTTAATGGGCCTAACAATTGCTTAACTTCTAAGACTTCGTCAGTAACAACAGCATCTTCAAAGATATTTTCACCCTTGATAACTTTGGCCTTAATGGTCTTACTTTGTAAGAATTGCTTACCAACATCGTATTCAGCATCAGTGACAATTGGTTCACCTCGGTAGATCTTACCATCGCTAGCAACAAATCTAATTAATCTCTTCCAAGCAGTAGTCATTGTTATAGTGTAATATATAATAAGTAGTTTTAATGATGTAAAGGAAAAAGGAGAAATTCAGATGAATTGAAATGAAACTATGGATTCTGGCCCGTATTTATTTGAAAAAAAAGAAATATCCTTCCTTCATTGAAACTGGCAATGAAAACCTGTGGGCAGATGTCGGCCCAATTTTCTTCTACTGTGGATTCCTTTTAGAGGGGATAATCAAATTTCTATTACTCAAGTCGGGAGCAATTTCCGTTCCTCTCGATTTACCGAAGAAGAAAAAAATCGGGATTGATCCGCTCTCGTTTTTTCTTTTGAGGTTGCAATTTGGTTATTAGTGCATATTGGAGTTACTTTTTTACATCGGAGTATCTAACCGAATTATTTTAATTGATTTGGTGGGGTAGATGACATATCCAAACGGATGGGGCCTTTTCTATGGAGACTAAAATATTTGCTACTTAGGACATAGATGCCGAAATACCGATGAACGGAACCCCATATCGGAACATGACAAGAATATAACTTATAAAAACGTACATCGCGCTCCTCTTTCTTAAATTTCACAGTTTATAGGTAGCAATACTTTATTAATCATAAAATCATTTACTATGGCTCCAGTCGAAACTTCTAATAACAAAAAGGTCGAATTCTTAAAAAGTTTGAAACCAGAAAATGTTGAACCATTATGGACCGTTATGTCTGCTATGGTCCCTCCTGTACCAAAGCCAAAGGCCGTTCCAACTGTTTGGGACTACAAGAAGTTAAGACCTTTATTGGTTGAGTCTGGTCGTTTAGTACCAACCGAAGAATCCGAAAGAAGAGTATTAATGTTGATTAACCCAGCCTTAAAAGCTCCTCAAACCACTGATACTTTGTATGCTGGTTTACAGTATATCAACCCCGGCGAAGTTGCTCCAGCTCACAGACATTCTGCTTTTGCTTTAAGGTTCATTATTGAAGGTGATGGTGGTTTCACTGCGGTAGAAGGTCAAAGAATTTACATGGAAAGAGGGGATGTCATATTAACTCCAAGATGGGACTGGCATGACCATGGTAAGGAAGGTGATGGTCCAATGATTTGGTTAGATGGTCTTGACTTGCCAATGTTCCAATCCATCCCTGTTAACTTTGCTGAACACTACCACGAAGAATGTTACCCAGCCGAAACTGTTGCTGAATCTAACATTAAGTTCCCATGGAAGATTACTCAAAACTACCTTGATTCTGTTGAAGGTGACTATGCTGTCTTTAATTATACTCAAGGTCAAAGTAAGGCCCCATTGTCAACCATTCTTACTGCTCAAGCTGAAAGAGTCAACGCTGGAACGTCAAGTGAATGGCGTCAAGAAAACTCTTCATTTGTCTACCATGTTTACGAAGGCACTGGTTACACTGCTATTAAGGAGGACAATAGCGAAGAAACAATTTTAAGATGGGATGGTAAGGATACTTTCTGTGTTCCCGCTTGGAAGAAATTCAGGCTTGTCAACAAAGGTGCCGAAACTGCTTACCTTTTCTCATTCAATGACTCTCCATTACTTAAGAATTTGGATATCCACAGAACTGCTGCAAATTAAACATGCTTAGTTTCTTTTGATCTATTTTAGTTTTTAGTTACAATCTGGTTAAGTATTTAAAATGCAGATTGATTTATATGTTTTCACTAGGTTTTATTAATCTTTTGATTATGACGTACACTGTATTCGTGGAACATAATTTGATGTAGATTTCAGGCGTGTTAGGTTAACTAATAAGAATATAGTAATGTTATGAGATACCCTCTTTTGCTTTCACCAGTGACTTAACTTGGTAAGAAACTTTCGAGTTTTATTGTTCTTTTGATTTTGTATACCGATCTGTTAAATAACTAGAACTGACATAAACTCCACATATAACCATAGAAAGTCATTCTCTGACTTCAAGATATAAATACAATATTACTACAATGCATATATAGTGACCTCAAAAATTAAATATTTAGAAACTAACCAGAGCTCCCTCGTCCACTATAAACTATATATAATAAATAATCTATATTTATTTATGCTTTGGTAGCACATCTAGCACCTACAATATGAGCCAAAGCAGTTGGCATCCAATCAAACAAAAGAACAAGACCACACATCAAACCAGCTGAGCCAGCAAAGTTGAGGTTTTCAAACATATGTGGAAAGTAGAAAGGTCCCAAGAAACCGTAAAGAGATCTGACGAAGTTGATGTATAAACCAACATCGCTAGCCTTACCAGGGGCACTATCGATAGCAAAGGTAGTAATAACAGTTGCGACAATATTATTACCGGCAGCGGCAATAGCAGCACCAATTAAAGGTTTAATGGACCAATTACCAGGTGTAGCCTTGAATAAGAAGATACCCCAGATAATTAAACCAACAAGAACCAAGATGTAACCATTGTAACAGACCCATAATCTGTCAACGATGACTCTTTGACCATTTCTCTTGGCAGTACTTCTCTTCATCCACCAATCGGAAAGCGGACCAGCGAGAATTTCCCCAATTATAGAGCCAATTATAATGGAAAGGTATTGTAAAGACATTTGTTGAGCATTGAGGTGAAATAATGGGACCATAACTTGGGGCATTTCGACAACCAAAACAATGTTAGCATAGCAGAAAGTGACGGAAGCAGCAATGACAGCTATGGAGACATTGAAACTAGCTGCTTGCTTTAATGGTCTAAAAAACATTTTCCAGGAGAATGGTCTAGAAGAAGATTTTCTAATACCCATGATTTTAAGTAAACCTGTGGAACAATATTCTGGACTAGTTCTAGTGTAAACTGTTTCCCTTGCAAATATCCATAAAATAAATTGGGCAAAGTTCATAAGAGCAAACACAAAGAAGATCCATTTACTACCAGCATGTTGTTGAATAAACCCAGTAAAGAATGGACCGCCTGGAGTACCAATAACCAAAGCCAAAGACCACCAACCATTTTTCTTACCTCTTTCGTGGGAGAAAGCTAAATCACCAACAACGGATGAACCAGCAGCCGTAACGGTAGAAACGAAAACACCGACAAGAACTCTAGTAGCCATTTGTTGACCATATGTAGTAGCAAACCCACCACCGATATTTAAGATACAACAAGCCAAAGCACCAAAAGTAACAAAGAATTTTCTTCCATATGTATTCATCAAAGGAACCCAGAATAATGGCAACACACCAAAGATAGCAATTTGAACAGAAGTAAAGTAAGCAGCAGTTGGAAGATCAACTCCATATTCTTCTGCCATAGTCTCAAAAGCAGGAGTTAAACCAGCAGCCATAAAAGTAGATGAGAAAGTACCAAAGGCAATTAACAATATTTCGTAATTTTTTTTCCATGCAGGCCAGTTAAGTGGATCCTTAGGATCGGAAGATGGTAAAGGATCTAACTCGACAGTACCATGTCTCTCCATAAGATAGGCATAAAGTTCTGGAGTGATTTGATTATGTTCAAGAGGAACATTTTCGATCTCTTCAACTTCATAGAGGTCAGCAGCTTTTTCGATATCAGCAGTAGCGGTCGATGTAGTAGTCATTGTTAGTAGTACTGTTTAATTACTTGAGTTAATACTGTTTAGAAAAATTGATTGCAATATTTCGAAGCCAATTTGCATCTATTTATAACAATGCATCATTGACTAAGCATGTTTGTTTTATGTAGCTACGCTCAATTATATCTTCTTGCAGCAAAACAATACATAGATCTAGATTTCTGCATAAAGGCTTATAATCTCCTCACACTTTTGTGAAGTATTTTTTGTATTCGCTTTTTTTATTTCCCCTCTCAGTCAGCAGCTTTCCCTGACTTATTTTCCGATGTTTTTCAGTCTGGAAAAAATGAATCATCGGGTTGGTTTCCTTTGGTGATTGTTGAAAATAAAAAGAAATTCTGAATTGAAGTCCACGGGATTTGCTCCCGTACTGAGACTTATAGATACTGGGGTTTTGTGATAGATCCAATGTTAAGACAGACAAGTAAGTAAGACATGGCGATCATATAACTTAGCTCCTTTATTATTATTGTCTTTGTTTTACTGATATCGATCTCTTATTCTTCGAAGAAAATCCGTCGAAACGACCTCTATTTGTTAAGTGTAAAATAGGAATCGACTTGTTTGTGTAACTTTATGCAAGTCTAAAGTTTTAAACAATGATTACCGAATCTTATTTTCTGTTTCGTGGTTTGAAGTACCAAAATGATTACAGTTAGTCGTTTCAAAGTTACGAATGGAGAACTGCAACTAAACAAACTATTTAAATTACATCCGGAGAGATGATTACTTCTAAAACTAATAATACCTTCTTATATCGAAAAAGCAAAACAAAGAAGCTTACATCCAATTAAACCTACAAAAATATTAATGCTTGAATCATTTAACGGTAAGCTAACAAAGAATCACAAAGATATCTGCTTCAATAATATCTGATGCAGGATTAGCAGTTATTTTTAGAGGTTTACCTGGAATGGTCAAAACAATGATATTGCTACAAGTGGCTGCAAGTTCATAGAAATTGAAGATTCAATGGTCCGGGCATCGACTTCACATTTATTTACAAAAAGCACTACTAAGAATATCTCTATGTAACATAATTTGTAAGCTAGCATTGTTGCTAATGGAATGGGTAAAACTTTTGGGGATTTTTGGAGCAAATGACTTCCACGTATGACTCGTAAAGCTCAGAGCCACATACTTTAGAAAGATGTCAGCTAATAGTTTTCTACTCAGTGGTTACCCCCGCCTTTTTTTTGACCAATAAGATTATTTCTATTTTAAAAACAGTATTTTTCTAAAATGCTCTTATCCCTTGAGTTGCAAGTATTGGCGGAAAAATTCCCGACGCCTTATATTCAATTGAATATCGGGATATCAAGAAAGAAAAAAAGAAAAAAATGAACACAAAGGGGTGCTTTTAAATTGGTTTGTGTATAACTGAATAGTTTTCTGAAGTATTACGAGAAACAACAGCGCCTCCATTGCCTTATCTTCAATGTTAATGGGGTTAGAATAGCCTCATTTAGTTAAGTATGTTGTATTTAGGTTGCTGAAAATTAACATTAACAAAATAGATGCTTCACAACCCACTGAGTTTTTGAGCATTTCCATCGAAACCAGATCCAAAAATGGAAGAGATGGGCTTACCCCATCTTGTTATAGAAATCTTCAATGATCATATCGTGTCGTAACTATTAAGAACGAGCAGAAAGTAAACTTATTTAATCTGCCAATAAATAATGGAAAGCGAAAGCTTAGGCTGCCACTTTACGAAAACGGATGCAAATCCACCCCTCCTAACCAAAACTACAAATAGACTTTATTTTTTCGGGATAGCCGCCGACCCCTGCCAATCTAATTTATTTTTTATTATTACGAACCTGTCAAAACTAATACGGATCGCAGACCCGAAAAAAGAGTTGGATTATTTTTTCTGAAAACAATGGCTACCCCACTTCGGTATCAGGATGTTCGCTGGATCGAAATAAAATGAAGGAAGCAGATTCCGATATACATTGAGACCTGGAATTAGGTTCCGAAAAATTTTCTCAATACCCATGCATAAGCTAATTTTGGTACCCCGTTAATTAAAAATACCGATGAGGATGCCTAATTAATATGCCTTATATTTGTTTTACCGATCTTTCATTGAGCTAATGATTCCAAAAGAAACCCAAGATACGTGTCTAATTTTTTTTAAATAGTACGAAGCTTTATATTATATAAGCTTACGAATCCACTTTTATTTTTCATTCTACCCTCCCTTTCATCATCATTAGTCATTTACTAATTTCGCCTATACAAAGTTTTACAGATCAAATAAAAAAATGGTTTCCTTTAATGTTATTGTCTGCGGTGGTGGTTTAGGTGGTCTTGCTGCTGCCATTGGTTTGAAGAGAAAAGGTCACAAAGTCACAGTCCTCGAAGCATCTACTGCTCTTAATGAAGTTGGTGCTGGTATTCAAATGCCACCAAACTCTGTTAAGATTCTTAAAGAATATGGTATCTTCGACAGGTTTGAAAAATATGTTACGAGACCAAAGAACATCATCTTAAGAAGATATGATACTGGTGTTCCATTATCTACCACTCCGTTAGATCCAGATATGACTAATGCTTACGGTAACCCGTACTTATTAATTCACCGTGCTGATTACCAAAGATTATTATTTGAAGCCGCTGTTGAACTAGGTATTGAATACAAAACTGGTTGCAGAATCCAAGAAGTTGACCAAAATACCGCTACTGTTATTTTAGAAACCGGTGAAAAATACTCTGCTGATTTAGTTGTAGGTGCCGATGGTATCAGGTCTAGAGTTAGAGATACTGCTGTTGTTCCAGAAGAAACTGTTCACCCAACTCCATCTTCCAACTGTGCTTTCAGAGCTACTGTTCCAAAAGCAGAAATGTTATCTGATCCAGCTATTTCTCACTTAATGACTGATGTTAACTCCAACTGTTGGATCGGTTACAGAAGACACGTTATGGCTTACCCTATCAGAAATGGTGAAATGTATAACATTGTTATGTCCCATCCGGGCCAAGCTTCTGTTGGTAAATGGAATGAACCAGGTAACGTTGAAGAAATGAAAAACCATTACAAGAACTTTGACCCAGTTGTTTGTCAATTATTAACCCATGTAAAGACCGTCTTGAAATGGGTCTTGGCTGATTTACCAAAATTACCAAGATGGGTTTCTCAAAGCGGCAAGGTTGCTTTAATCGGTGATGCTGCTCATGCTATGTTACCCTACTTAGCTCAAGGCGCAGCTCAAGCTATTGAAGATGGTGCTACTTTAGCTGAAGAATTAGAACAGTGTGTTTCTACTGATGATATCCCAAGAGCTCTCCAACAATACCAAAAGAAGAGAAAGAGAAGAGCCGAAACTATTCAAGCTGGTGCTAGTAAGAACGGTGGCATTTGGCACTTACCAGATGGTGATGAACAAGAAGAAAGAGACGCTTTGATGAAGGCTAGAGACGGTCACAACCCAGATCAATGGTCCGACAGAGAGTTTCAACAATGGTTATTCGGCTGGAATGCTTTCACTAACACTTTTGTGTTTAAGTTATAAGTATAACACATTGGGCTTGGTTTATCATTTTAGTTCTCCATTTATATATTATATGGGTTTCCATTTTTTCATGCATAGTATTGTTAGATACCTCTACTATGATTACGATTGAGGTAGACACATTTAACAAAACATTAGCTTTGAATCTCAAATCATTGTAGACTTGGCTAAACCAACAATGGCTTTTCGAAGATAGTGTTCTTCTAATTAAGCATGTTATTTGAACAACTAGATATGTTATTGTTTTTTTTTTTTAGCCCATAGAAATAAACATTTTTTACTTAAATGCATCTATTTCGTTTTTTCATATAAATCTACAAATGTGTAACCATATTGGTGATACAATAAAAATAACTGGTCTAAGGAGTTGACTCATTGCTTTCACTAGAGTCTTTATTTCCATTCGTTTTATTTGTGTTAGCTTCGGTTGTAGAATCATCACTTTTACTGCTTTTATTGACTGAAGCATTACTTTCACTAGCTTCGAAATTAATGGCAATAAATCTCTTGCAAATTTCGTACATAGCATAGGATTATTCAAAAGGGCCATAGCGGTTCTTGCCATTGCCTTCTTTTTCGAAGAATCAGTAGCAATTGCAATTATTAAATTTCTAATAACCAATGTAACCTTATATACATATGTTACCAAAACATGGGCACTCCCCATACTTAAGCGCTAACAAAAGCAAAACGCCGGTAACGGTTGAAAAGCGTGGGCAAAAACGTTGGCAAGCACAAGCACATTGTAAGTCCACCAGATCTAGTGTTTTAGGCCTTCTTATGGTCTCTATGTGTAGCACAAGTTTGTGCAGTTGTGGCATCTGCCCCATTTCCGAAATTTTATAGTTTAAAAGACCGGCAAGTCTACCCTTCTACTGTGGCTGATTGTTTCCTCCATACTCTTGTTTAATCTTTTGACACACACTCTTCCTATATGCACCAGTTGATCTCAACACCTTTTTTCCTGCATTTATTGGTTCACTTTTGTTGATGCTTTGGTACACACATTGGTGCAACAAGTTTATACACACATAAAAGTACAATCTACAACACAGTAACAGATCAATACATTACATTGACTATAAAACTATTCATTTTTCACAAACACCCTTATTTGAGCTCATATGAGTGAGTAAATTTATATAGAAATAGGTTATCATCTACAATTTTTTGGAGTTGGAGTATACTGTTGTGGTTTCGATTGTTTTGACTTTGTTTGTAGATGCACTCTCCCTCTTCCTCTTCCTTTTTTATGTAATTGAGTAGCACTTTTGATTCTAGTGCAGGAAAAAATAAATAAATAAGCAATTATGTAAGACTTGTGTAAGTACCAATAAGTACACAGTATATAGAGATGAATCGATTTTTGCGGTGATAGTGAGAGTGATAGATGGTCTAGATTACGGTGGTAATATCATCTGGTGCTATTACTTGGTCTATATCGATTACTTTGTATGATGGTGTGGT